GTCGAGAAGACAACCTGTCAAACAAAGTATGGGAGCTTTAAGTTTCTGGTGATGCCCTTCGGGCTATGCAATGCGCCGGCAATGTTTTTGGCGTAGATGAACCATATCTTTGTACCTTATTTAGATCACTTTGTGGTTGTCTATATTGAGATATCCTAATCTATAGCAAAATGCTAAAGAAGCATGCCGAACACTTGACGAAAGTGTTTGAGAAACTAAGGGAACACCAATTGTATGCTAAAGAGAGTAAATGTGACTTTGCTCAACAAGAGGTAAAGTTTCTCAGATATATGGTGGGCAGGGACGGGCTTAAGGTGGACCTTGAGAAGGTCTAAGCAATCCAAGATTGGGTGCAACCATCAAATGTACATGAGTTAAGGGCATTCTTGGGGCTATGCAACTACTACTGAAAGTTTATCAGACACTATTCGAGAGTAGCCATGCCCTTAACGGACCAAACCGGAAAAAGGAAGATGGTATGGATAGCAGAATGCAAGGCAGCATTTGTCCACCTCAAAGGGAAGTTGAGGAAGGCTCTTGTGTTGGCGTTACTAAACTTTGGTAAAGACTTTGAGATAGAAACAGATGCTTCAGACTTTGTGTTGGGCATAGTTTTGAAGCAAAACAACCATCCAATAGCCTTCTTCTAGAAGAAGTTGGACAAGGCTCAACGGAAGTGGCCTGTCCACGAGAAGGAATTGTTTGTGGTGGTCAAGGCGCTCAAGCAGTGGCGACACTACATTGGGAGACACTTCAAGGTTTACACGGACAATGTGGCAACAAAACACTTCTTTTCACAACCTGACCTGAGAGGGAAATAAGGTCGATGGGCCAATGCTTTGGCCGAGTTTGATTGCGAGATTTTGTACAAGCCTGGGAAGAGCAACATCGTGGTGGATGCGCTAAGTCGAAAAGCAAGCTTAAAGTTGGCGAAATTTAGTGCAATAGCAACCTTTTGGGATGATGTGTGGACAACATATGAGAATGATGGTCTAGCCCAAGAAGTGTTGCTGAGGAATCTAGAGGCACGGGAAGCTCACCAAAGAGGTGAGCTGCCAACGAAAGAGAAAATGGGCTATGCAGAACGCAATGGACTCATTTATTACAAACAAATGAGGGTGTATGTTCCAGAAGGGGAACTAAGGAAGGTAGCCTTAGAAGAGTGTCATGATAGACCTTTTGCAGGACACAGCAGAGTGCCCAACACGATGGGCTTACTTAAGAGGAAGTATCATTCGCCAGATATGGCTAAGGACGTCCAAGACTATGTAAAGACATGTCCAACATGTCAGTAAGCCAAAGCCGTGACTAAGGCTAGTAGGGGCTTGTTACAAAGCATCCCAATTCTAGATCGTCTGTCGAAATGTCTTACGATGGACTTCATCACGGGACTCCCCCAAGCGAGGGGTTTGATGCGATATTCTTAGTGGTGGACCTTTTTCCGAAGATAGCACATTTCATACCCACCACAACGGAAGTGGATGCAAAAGGTATGGCGAAGCTGTTCTTCGAACAAGTGGTTCAAGTGTGGGGAAGGCCAGAAGAGATCATCTCAGATGGAGATAATATCTTCACTAGTAGGTTCTGAAGAACTCTCCTAGAATAGTATCGCACTAAATTGAAATTCAGCACAACCTATCACCCACAGACAAGTATGGGGTATTAAGTCAAGTTTAATGGCATTAACACTTCTTGATAGATAGACAAACGGAAAGGGTGAATAGGCAACTGGAGGATTATTTGTGATGCTATGTCTCTAGAGACTAGACCGATTGAGTAAGTCATTTGGGATTTGCGGAAATGTGTTATAACAATTCACCACCTTCGAGTATCGGGGTGAGTCCATGGGAAGTTATCAATGGGCGAGCTATTAAAGGTCCTATGGAGCTCGGTGTGGCCGAGTACCATGGAGAGTTACCCATAGTGGAGGCATTCATGGTGGAAAGACTCAACATTTGGAATCTAGTGAGGGATTCCTTGGAACGGGCTCAACAAAGGCAAACCAAATACGCAAACCAGAAGCGGCGGGATGTAGAGTTCCAAGCGGGGGAGAAGGTGTGGCTGAACACCAAGAACTTTAGGCTGCCAAGTGGGATCAGCCGGAAGTTAACCCAAAGGTAAAAATGCATGTATTCTTGGAAATGAGTTGATCTTGAGTTCCTTAAGTAGGTTCGCAGGGCCTTACAAGATTGAGGCACAAACGGTAAAGTGGCTTACCATCTCCGACTTCCTCGAGAGATGGGGAAGATGCATCTAGTGTTCCACGTGAACTTACTCAAGCGGTACTTTGAGGATCCACTTTGTAGGGACCAAGTAAAACTTTTACCTAAGGTTATCCAAGGGGAGGAGGAATACGAAGTCGAGGCCATCCTCAATGCGCGCAAGAGCAAGCGACAAGGACGCGAGGTGAGAGAGTTTTATATGAAGTGGAAAGGATTTCCGCACTGTAAAGCAACATAGAAACCGGAGGAGAACCTAGCGAACACGCAAGATCTAGTGGAGGAATTTTTGCAAGGTAGAACTCTATGTACTTATGCAAAATTCAATTAAAGTATCAATTTGCGAAGTTGAGTAATGGCATATGTTGGGACCCAAAGGCACGCCGAAGGTAAGCTAATTAACATGGGTTAGCTAGGTCGACTAAGCGTAGAGAACTATGCCTGACTCCCCACGAGGATGTCGAATCTGTAGACGTATTTTACGGAGGTTGGGTTTGAGTCCCAACCCCCTAGTAAAGCAAGGCTGGGTTCAAGTCCCAACCCCATACTAGGGCATGGTGGGGTGAGGAGTATAGGGACACTATATTCCGTTGTCATGGGCTCTTGTCCGAGGAGGCTAACTTAGGCACACTACTAAGTGGGGGGATGCCCCCGGAGATATGGTTAGCAAGCTGTAGGATAAAAAAAAAGAGACATTCGATGTGGGCATTGAACTTCTTCTATGGGTGGTGGAGTTGTAAAGAACCAACTCCCCAAGGTGTCATAGGATAAAGGATCCCCAAAAGCATGACCGAAATGACAAAGAGTTCATCGGATGGGACCGAGTCTGAGATTGAGTCCAAGACTAACTCCGAGACCGAGTTTGAGATAGAGTCCGAGATCGAGTCTGAGGCCAACTCGGAGACTGAGTTCAAGACAGAGTCCGAGATCTGAGATCTTGTCTGAGACCGAGTCCGAGGTCGAGTCCGAAGTCAAGTCCGAGATCGGGTTCGAGATCGAGTCCGAGATCGAGTTCGAGACCGAGTTCAAGACAGAGTCCGAGATCCGAGATCCAAGATCGGGTTCGAGACCGAGTCCGAGGTCAAGTCCGAGATCGGGTCCGAGATCGAGTCCGAGATCAAGTTCGAGACCGAGTCCGAGTACTAATACAGGTCAAGGGGTGAAAGCCCAAAGCGTGCGTCTCCTACGGGGGGGCGGGGGGGGGGGGGGGGGGGGGGGGTAGAGGTACCCATACCGGGCCGTTAGGCCATGGTGTTTCGCCCTAGTGTCCCGAAGCAAGTGTTGCATCCAAGGTTTAGGATTTAGAGGGTCCCATGATTAAGCCTTGTTGTACCAAGGGAGGTTAGGAACTTGGAGGCTTGGTGTGCTTGGCTACTTGTGCCTGCAAGGAGTGTAGCCGAACCTTAAGTCCAGTCTAACCCGGAGAGGGGGATTGGGAAAGATTTGGGAATCCATGGATGGGTGACTAACGCTCCATTGCTTATGTAGTGAGTAGCTGAAACCAAGTAGGACCAGGTAGGAGCTGGTACAATAGGTGGGAACCTTGGCGAGGGAACTTAGCGAAAGCCAAGGCAGAGTTGGTCAGATAGACGAGGTAAGCTGGCAAATTGAAAAGGAAAAATTTGGGGCTTATATGAAAGAGGTGACATCTCATAACGTTGTGCCAAATGATGAACATCGTCAAGGGTAGCAAAAGCAAATGCATGCACAAACCTGACAAGATCTTGACAAAGTGCTGGCCACAACATTCCTAGTTTGATCCGCTCCGACATATTTGGTTCCGCACGAAGCATGGAAATGAATGCCAAATTGCATCATTGACTCAGATGGCCCTTGACGAAAACGATGCAATTGTTGGAAGGCATCATCACAATTGTCAGCATATCCGAATGTGCTTTTGAAGACGTCCGGGAGAACACTCGAATCCCACCATTGTACCACTGCAGTGCTATCCCTTGAAGACACATGGGAAACTCACGCAAACGTTGAGCATCATCCCAAGAATGATATGTGGCAATCACTATGAAGTGATCAAACCAATGATGCACATCATCCCCAAGATTCCCATGAAAGAACTCTGGCCGAACGCGAGGATTGGCACCAAGAATAAAAGGAGTTGTACCACATGCCATGAATACCACCATCAACTGAGTTTAGTTGTTTAATTGCAAGCGCATAGCATCAAGCAATTGTACCAATTGCTACTCTAGAGTTAGAAGAAATTGCTGATCTGCCATGAAAATGAACGAAAAAGAAAGAGCAAAAGAAGAGAAATGATAAAAACCTAGAAGGAAAGGGAGATTTAGACAATGCAAAACGTTAGATCTAAACCAAAATCCTGAAAGGAAAGAACAAAAAAAAGGAAATGGAAAAAACTAAATCTAGATGCTACAAAAGCTAGATCTAAACCAAAATTTTAAATCTAAGCACTCCTCAAGGACAATCAAAAAGTGCCTCTCACCTCCACTAATATGAGTGCATGGAATATAGAAAGGGAATATAGAAAATGTGTATATCCATTAACCCAAAAACCCTAACTTATATACATGAGCGAATGATCTGGATTGAAACCAATCCGACGGCTACCAAAATCCCACTATAATTAATATATAACATCATTGGACCTCACATTATTTTGATACTATTCCAATTTAATTTTTAATATAACAAAATTATGACAATCAATTTTTTTTTTTACCAATTGGGCAACATATACTGAGCAATAGCTAGTTATATCAATATTGGTGACATGATACACATAATTTATTAACGATGGGTGATCTTTGTAGATGATGCCATTAGGTCTTTTCTCGATGAGAAGATGAAACAGTGCTCTGAATTGGGCAAGCTATGGGAGCGGCAGATTGGCAATATACATCCGCGAGCATTCTCCTTAAACATTGGCGGTTGCAAGGTTTATATCCCTCTCCATATCGATTTCTAGGTTCGTTGCCAGGAACCAATCCTCCCTTCTTCCTCCTCTCCAGGATTTAATCCAGCGTTTGGAGCGCTATGCTGAGCTCTCTGGCCACGATGGATGCGTCAACACTGTGCATTTTAATCCCAGCGGAGACATTCTCGTCTCTGGATCCGACGACAAAGAGATTGTGTTTTGGGACTGGGCTGCTCGCTCCAAAAAACTCTCTTTTAACTCTGGGCATGACAACAATGTGTTCCAGGCCAGGATCATGCCTTTCTCCAACGATCGAAGCGTTGTGACCTGTGCTGCCGATGGCCAAGTACGTGACATTCTTATCAAGTTCTTTGCTTCCGAGCTCTTTTCTTCTGTTTTTTTTTTCTTCTTCTCTTTTACATTCACAGGTCAGGCATGCTGTAATCTCTGAGAATGGTTGTGTTAGCACAAAGAAGCTGGCACAGCACCGAGGGCGAGCTCACAAGCTTGCCATCGAGCCTGGAAGCCCGAGAACATTTTTTAGCTGTGGAGAAGATGGCGATGTTCATCAAGTAAGTCAACGTTCTTTCTCTTCCTTTCGGGGTGTTTTCATTCCAAAAGTTGTCTTTTTTTTTGCTCTTGCAGTTCGATTTGCGAGAGGGCGGCAACATGAAGATCGTCACTTGCAAGGGGCGTCCCGTGATCTACCTCAACGCCATTGTCATCAACCCGCGCAACCCAAACTATTTCGCCGTGGGAGGATCCGACGAGTTTGCTCGAGTCTACGACATCCGCAAGGTCAGCTCCAGCGGCGAAGTGGATTCCCCCGTCGACGTCTTCGCTCCAAAGCACCTCATCGGCACCAAGCAGCACGTCCACATTACGTGCGTCGCGTACTCCCAGCAAGAGGAGCTCCTCATCTCCTACAACGACGAGCTCATCTATCTCTTTGACAAAGGTGGAGGACTCGGCCCTTCTCCGCCAAGTCCCAGCGCTTCTTCCAGCACCAAGGAAGAAGCAGCAGCAGCCACACGGGTTCCAAACAAAGCCGAAGGAGGCGGCAAAGCCACCAACGAGGCAGAAGAAGAAGGCAAGCGTAACGTTAGCAAAGAAGAGAACAAAGAGGAAGGCAACCGCGAAGGAAAAGCAAGAGACAAAGGAGATCAAAACGAGGAGAACGAGAAGAAAGAGTATGAGGTTTACAAGGGCCACAGGAACGCGCAGACCGTCAAGGGCGTCAACTTTTTCGGTCCAAACTGCGAGTACGTGGTCAGTGGCTCCGACTGTGGCAACATCTTCATCTGGAAGAAGCGAGGCGCGGAGCTCGTCGCGATGATGGAGGGCGATCGCCAGGTCGTCAATTGTCTGGAGCCGCATCCCAGCGTCACCGTTCTTGCCACCAGCGGCATGGACGACAGTGTCAAGATCTGGGCTCCCACGGCTCCAACGATCCAGCCGCTTCCAAAGAACGCTCATAAGGTACGTGAAAAATCCTTCTTTTTTGTGATTCTTCTTCTCTGCGGTTTGCGTTTTCCCCAGGTTATGGAGAAGAACAAGCTTAGTCGAGAGGACAAGCACTCCATGCCTGACTTTCTTATGCTCAGCCTCATCCACGCAGCGCATATGGGCGATTTCGATCGCTTCAGGCGCGTGAGACGACGAAGATGAGGAGCAATGTGGAAGAACAGGGAAAGAGAAAAGGAAATGCAAATCTGGAGGTTAGCCAGACCTTATAATCTTGTGTTATAACTCAAACTTTAGCATTTCACAATTTAAGGAGATGGAGTAAACAGTTTTCTTCTTGAATTTCAATAAAGTTGTACAGGGAATATATCCTTAAAAAAAGGTTAACAGTGGCCTATAGAACTTTTATTGCTTTGTTTCATCTTTGTGTACATTTTCCATGGTCCGAGCCATTTGGCATCGCCCCTGATATTTTTTCCTCTCCCTCTCTCTACCTAGCTTATACTAAAGTTTGATCAACCAAAACTTAGAAAAATACACTGTACCTTTGAACTCTCAATTTTACCCATCTCCATCCATCCATCCCCGATTTCTCCTCGTCAAGACCAATCCCACCACGAAAGCGAGCCTTGATCATCCAAATCAAAGAATCCCCCAGCAGTAGCACTGTCGTATCCCGTGTCCTCGAGCTTGGGGATCATCCGATCGTCGGGGGGAGGAGGTGGCGGCGGGGACGACGAGTAAACCATCGAATTCGTGTATGTGTCGTCGAAGTTTGCGGCAATGTGACACTCCAACGGATTCATGAGGACGCGATCCTCGTCGTCGTGTAACGAGAAACGGCCGCTCTCGCTCTGATCCGGACGAGGAGTGATTGCCGGATCATCGTCCACAATCTCACTGCCGCCGTCGCTATCCCACGAGTTGATCGAGCAATCCTTTCGGGTGGCAATCGTCGGAGTAGTAATAGTAGTAGTAGCAGTCACCGTGATTGCGGAATTGCCCTCACTCTCCTTTGTTTTGTTGCTGTGATCATCACCCACGTCCACCACTTTCGTCTCCTCTTGCTTGGACGAGAGTAGATCGTTAAGCCGATTCACCTGGAGGAGGAATCCCGAGATGAAAATCAAAAGGCAAAGGAAAGGACGAAAAGAAAAAATATCTGACATACCTCGGCCTCGAGCTCTTGCTTCTCTTTCAACAGAGATTTGTAGTCGCCGCGGAGAGCGTCCAGATTTTCCTTGAGCGCGTCGTAGTCCTTTTCAAGCTGCTTGGTCTTCCACCTGGCCCGCCTGTTTTGGAACCACACAGCAACTTGGCGGGGCTGGAGGCTCAATTCTTTGGCAAGCTGGAGCTTGCGCTCCGGCTCCAGCTTGTTGTCCTGCTCAAAGTGCCTTTCTAGGGACTTCACTTGATCCACGCTCAGCCGCCTCTTCTTCTCGATGTGATGCTGCTGCCCCGCGCCTGGATCGTCGTCGATGGCATCCTCCTCGTCGGATGCGTGATCCATGATCGGTCGCTTGGGATTTTGAGGAACGATCTTCATAGTACCTAGAAATAAAAAATATTTCGGCCCAAGTTCTAGAGATTGCGAAGGAATATGTTACCTTCCACGGGGTTTACAGCGATTCCTGCATTGCCGCCGTGAAGAGATCTCGCTTGGCGCTGGATGGAAGGCCGCTGGATTCGCCTGTCGGCCGCGTCTTTGAGCCTCGGCATCACAAAGGTCCCATGAATGAGATTTCCCAGCAAGAACACTTGAAACCGGTTGAATCGCAGAGATTCTCAGCCCGACCGCCCGATCCCCATGTTATTTCGCCAGATTCTCAGCAGAGAGACCCGATCCCCATGCCAGATCGCGAGATTCTCAGCAAGAGCGCTCGATTCCCATAAGATTCTCAGCCAGAACGCTCATGCTACCTCGCAAGAACACATCTACCTCGAAATGCCTCGGGGCGTCCAAGAACTACTGCTCTCCTCGTCATCACCTCCCAATTCTACCTCCATGGACCAAGAACCTCGCAGATTTCCGCTACTCGCCCGGCACTCTCAAGGATTTCGCGAGCGAAGGGACGGAAATTTCAGCTTCGTCTCCAGCCGTGCCAGCCGCGCCATTGACAAAAGCAAAGAGAGAAGAGAGAATAAAACGCGACAAGACCTATTCACTCCGCTCACTTTCTTCTATGTGGTGAATATTCCCTTCCCTACTAAAACAAAGATTCGCGCGCCCACTAGAAAACTGCCGTACCTTTCAGTTGTTTCTGGCCCATGGGGCCCAACAGAGTGGCCCAGCTTTCTTTCTTTCCCCAGATTATCAGATTATAAGTACGTAGCTGTCTTGTCACTCTCGGGTATCGAACTCGCGCACGTCATTTGAGCCATGGGCCACAAGTCATCATGTGCCAGACCATGTGGTCCAAACCGTCATATAGGCCCCGCCAGGGAAAGCAACCCGGCGTGCGTCTTTGGTGGGCCGCCCTCTCGAAAGTTAGCTACTCGTTCTTTAGCTACAGCGATAGAGATTCCATATATACCTTTAATCGGTCCTTGTATTACACTTTATTTTTTTCCATCTCATCCCTTCAGGCTGGCAGTAAAACTTCGAAGTGAGTCCTGGAAAAACTTGAAAGAGTATCAACAATCTCGGCGAGAGAGCATCGGCCGATCGAACTTTAGCTCGAGAGAATGATTTAGAACGCGGTAAAGCTTGCCTTGACAGAAGGAGCTGGAACGAGCAGGGTCATTTTCCCCGCACGGGTAGCTTCATGGTAAGTTTTGGAGTTCACGGGTGGCGTCTTTGTGTACAGCATAGAGGTGGAGCACAGCGCGTCTGGCTTGAAGCCACAACTTGCGAAGAAAGGCCTGCAGGAGGAAGAGGTAAGCAGTAGCTAGCAATTTCGAGATCCATATCACAATTGGACAGGGACGAGTAGCAGGCTTTTCCCACGAAGGAATAACAAAACAAAAGAGGCCTTACATGTTTTCAGGTCGAGTGAGCACTGAGATGTCTGCAATGTCCAGTGTGTAGTACATATAACTGTGGAAGACGACAAAGGAAAAAGAAGCCTCGAGTTTAGAACAAAATAATCTTAATAGAAAAACACTCTACCGTGCTAGCCGCTGCAAAACATGACGCCCAAGCCCTTGCCTTTGCATCGAAGGAGCAACCTATAAGAGCACTTGTGAACCAATAAGGAAAGATCGCATTCTCAAATTCTCAAAGTCGAGCAAGTGATCACGACGATGAGCGAAAGGAAAGAAAGATGAGGAAGTCGAGAAGAAAAGAAAACTAGAACGAAAGTATAGCAAACAAATCAGCCAAAACGAGTACATACCCAGTTCGTGAACACCAACAAGGAAAGATCGCATTCTCAAAGTCGAGGAAGTGATCGCGACAAAGAGCGTGAGGAAGTCGAGAAAAGAAAACTGGAACAAAGAAATCAGCCAGGGACAGGGATGACTTACCGCCAAGTCGTGGATGGATCCAGCCAGTGTTTTATCAGACACCGCACGACCAAACGCTACCAAGCACTTGGGAGCTTTGTCGGAGTTTAGACGGTCCCAAACTCCTTCCCTAGCTTCGCTCCACGTCCTTTCCATATAATCACCGCCAGGGACTGATCGGCCTTTGACGTAGATCGCCACCGCGATGTCGCTGAAATCCAGAGCCCTCTGGAGCTTCGCATCGTCAACCCTGGAGACGCGTCCATCGCCGGCAATCTGTGGAAACTGGTGGCAATTCTGACCTACATTTCGACGATCGCGTCGAAATCCTGGAGAAAGAAAGCGAGGAATCTCTACCTGTCGCAGCTAGAAGAGCGCCGAGCTCGCTTACGTTGATCACTCGCTTGTCCGTCGTGACGATGAATTTGCCCCCCTTCCTCAGCGACGCTCGCGGGAGGAGGCGACATCGCGGCGGTGGCAAGAGAATTAGGGCTCTTGACATGGATGTAGCCCATGGGTCATGGATGTGCATCGCGGCGGATTACCATGCCGGTCAGGCATGGGCATGCATGGCCCATGACCATAATGTTTCTACTATTCAAGCTTGAGAGGTCTCTCTTTTGATGGAGCTCGTGGATATTCTCCTCGAGGAATGGCTCCTCCTCGTCTATCTAGGGTTTCTCTTGTTCGTGCTGGTGGCGCTACTGTGTGGCAACTGGCCGGCGTTCGATCGCACGCCTGTTCGTGCGCTGCATTCTTGGATCGGCGGAGGAGCCTGCGATTGCGTCCAGTAAGTATGATTTAGGTTCTAGAATGGCTAACTCCTCGCATTTCAGGGAAATTCTCCGGCTCTGTCTCGGATCTAGAGGTGTCCGAGGCTACGAATTTGTAGAACATATTTGCTGCGAGCGGCCAAATCCAATTTTGCAGGTTTGTTCTCTCTCGATCGATAAGTTTTTGCTACGATTGATCGGTCGTTCCTGTGCGTAGCTCTTTTACTTGTCTCTTATCGTTGGAGGTTTCTCTGTCTTCTACTCCACTTCCTTCAAGTACATTCCCGGGAGATTTCTTTCCTCGATACACAGGTATGGCAGCCCTTCTTTCGTGACCATTCTCAAGTTATTTTTGCGATCAGATTTTTGGGACCTTCGGCAGTTTTAGTGGGCATCGCCATCTTTTTGCTAGCTAGTTTTTCTGATCCTGGAACAATCACTGCTTCGAACTTGGCTACGCACGAAGACATCTATCCTTTTGATGGCATCATTTACACGGAGAAGATCTGTCCAACGTGCAACATTCCACGGTGAGGGAGCCAGATTTCTTTCTTCTGAAGTCAATCTAACATGTTACCTACGTTTGCAGACCAGCAAGATCAAAACACTGCAGCATTTGTAACCGCTGCATTGCCCGTTTTGATCACCACTGTGGATGGATGGTCAGTCCTGCATCTTGTTTGTGTGAAGACGAGCTTTCTTGTTCTGTTGTTTGTGGTCGAACATAGCGTCTTACCTCAACTTGTTGCAGAACACTTGCATCGGCGCCAACAATCTCAGATACTTCGTATTCTTTTTGATCTGGTAGGCCGGATTATTCTAGCAAAATCACTGAAAACTTAGCTTCTTTTCTTGTCAGGCACTCTATACTCTGCTGCTACGGAGTCAGCCTGTTGGTAGCCATACTTGCCGGAGAGGTCATGAGATATGGAGTCATGGAAAGGCTATCATGTGAGTTTCAGGTCTTCAGCTGCTTGACTAGTAGTCGTTTTTGCAGTTTATGGAATGGTCACTTTCTATGACAAGCTGCCACATCTTGTGCAGGTATGAAAGTTTGTATCGCCGAATTTAATGGTTTCTGATGTTTTGTTTGACGCCAGTGGGTGATAACATTCTACAATCATCAAGTGCTCCTACTCATGTTCTTGTTCGTCGTCTCGATTCTACTGGCGTCTTTTCTGGTCTATCACTTGTACTTGATAGCCAGGAACACCACAACAAACGAGGTCAGTGTTTTAGATTCTTCGTTTGCTCTTACTGGCACTTACAGGTCTACAAATGGGAAGCTTACACGAGATGGTACACTGATGCTAATGGTAAATCTGAAGATCCTGGCAAAACGTCGAAGTCACTCTGGAATGGTTGCGGGTTTTGGAGTGCTAGAAGGGAATCCGATCCGGATAGAGCTGAAAATATATACAACAGCGGAATGGCAAGGAACTTCTGCGAGGTTCTCTTTCCGTTGAAACACAAAGACAAAGTTCACTCGAAGCAGAGGTAACCAAAACACCATTTTTGTTTCTTACAGTGATCTTACAGACAATATATACCCGAAAGAAGATCCATGTCTAGAAAGGCTCATGTTTTTTCAGAAGGCAGGATTCCTCGGCACTGGCTTGTTCCACAAAAACAGGCCCTCGAACTCGATTCTAGTCCCGGTTCGACGACACCATAGCTGAAAGTAAGTTCTTGGCCTGACTGGATCTCTTTGCGCGTGAAGAAAGCCAGCCTGGGGACGCAGCAGCCTGCTGAGCGGACGAGGCACGAGAGGAGATTGCCACCGTCGCAGGAGTGATTGATGAACCTGGCAATGTTGCCTACGTTGGTGGCATCGATGTTGAATCGCAGGCATGCGTCGCCCGATGGAAGATGTTCTCTCACCACCAAAAGGCTCGTAACTCTCGGGGATTGGTCGTAAGTTTGGTGCCTTTTCCGAGCTTCCTTGGTCGTCAAGAGCTCTCCTGCACAAACGCGAAGAGACAAAGGAGCACGATAAGTAGAAGGAAGAACTTTTCTTTCTTACCAGCGTACTCGCAGATGAAAGCTCCCGGTTTGATGTCCTGCGCTGCATGTAAGCTCCAGCCTTTGGTTGGATGCCTCACAACCTTGAGCTCGGCGGAGGCGCCGCGCTGGGAGAGCCTGTGGCAGCACTGGATGGTGCACGAGCAAGCAGGGCCGCACTCGTAGATCAGTGGAAGATCGGCGGGAGTTGGAGCTTCTTCTTCTCTCTGGTTTTGGAAACTCAAGAGCCTGGGAGAGTTTGAATCGTATGCTCGCTCGCCGAAGATCGTCCGACCGCAGGGACAGGAGCTGGACGAGAGCCGCCTTTTCTTTTTGCTCGGGAGTGCTTCGTCGCTATCATCATCTTCATCCTGGATCAAAGTCTTTAGGCACGAACGAGAAAAGAGAAAATTACCAGAAGTTCGATCGCGCTAGTCAAATCATCCGGTGCCTGTGAAGGAAATCCTGACAACTTTCAGCCCCTAAGAGAAGGAAACCAGGAAATTCTCTCATCATACCTGGATCTTCTTGTTCTCCTCGGCAGCAGTCAATGCAGCGGCAACCATCGCCTCCAAACTGCCCGTAATCAAAACCAGCGGCATTCTTCTCGGAAATGGATCTCGGAAAGGCAAATGCCCTCCTCTCCCTCGCAAGAACAGACACCGGCGAGTACTCGAAGTAAGGGTAGCGGCATTCGTCCACGCAATTCACCACCGGGATCCCGAAGCCTTCCAACCCTTGCGCTGCATCCGCGGCACGGCACGATGTGAGATCCCTTGCTGCCGCTGCCATCGTCCTGCAAGTGAGCGCCAGCGCTGCCACATCGCGCGGCTCGAGCCACGGCAAGACATTCTCCATCAAGAACCCTAAAATTAACGGGAATGCAAGAACCCTGAAATAAAAATCATTGACTACAGATTTGACTGTTGACCGTTGACTTAAACAAGAATCTCTTGCAACCTCTTATTGCAAAAAACGTTCTTGGGCGATAATGCTTTTTCCCTCGGTACTTAGTGCTCCTGTTTGACGCGGGCCTTGAGAATTCCTGGCAGTGGCGGCGGCGAGAGGCCATTTTTCATCATCCGGGGGGACCGACCGTGGTGGTGGTGGTGATACATGCTCGGCAGAGGGGAGGAGCCATCGTCCATCGGGCTCGCGTCGAAGCCTCCATTCTCGTGCTTGGATCCCCCACCAGGCTTGGCCCCCGGGTCGCAGAAATTCATGGCTTTGAGGATGGAGGCGTCGTCGTGGAGCTCGAATGGCGAGCTGGAACAGAGAAAGTTGATTGTAGTCGCGAGAAAAGAAGGCAAAGCTATTTGGTACCTGTTGAAATCGAAGTGAACTACTTGCATGTCTTCGGATATCTCGACTTCCACGGTTGCTTGGGGTCGAGTCTGTAGGGGCGAGTCAGCATTTAAACAGCATCGCTGGGAAGAGAAAACTCTTACCTGTACAAGAATGAAAGGCAATGCAACGCCTCCAGCAGGAAAGTTCCCAGTGCCGTTGTACATTCTCTCATTCCGATGAATGAGATTTTGAATGCCTACGATCTTCCACAAAGTTTTAACGTCAGGACAGTGAGCCAGAAATAAATCAGAAAAATCCGCGGACCTGATCTTGCAGCTCTTGTAGATACTTCTTCTTCTTTTCTATCCTCGAGCGGACGCGCAGCTGTTCTTCCTGCACGAACTGTAGGTCATAAAACTACTTCAACTTAATCGAAAAACCGCATGGGAACCTACCTTCAGCTGCTCGGCATCGGTGAAACTGGTGCTTGGGAGCCCTTTCCATTGGATCTCCTTCTTTTCTTTGGATATAATGTCCATGGCCATAAGAACGTTCAGAGCATCGTACACACGTCTTCTGATGTTTTTCTCATCGTACTGCTGATGTAAAGAGAGATAAATTAGAGCCATAACATCAGTACAAAAACTGGCTAAGAAAGCTTCACCTGGTCCGGAGAGCCGACTAGACCATTTGGATTTGTGAACTCGGCTACAAGCTCGTCGGCCACCTGACGGATCACCGTGTCAGAAATTTACAAAAAGGAACACACAGGAGATGAAAGCTTACTTCGTTATAAGTCGTACGGCCTTTGCTTTCGACTTTCTCACAAACTGAAAGAATAGCGGAGCATTGCAGTGATACGTTCGGAACGATAAGAGATCGATGCTTTACCTTTCATGCTAAAATGCCGCAATCCCTTGCCTCCTTTCTCTCCCCCAATCGCTGCACGATGCCCACGCTTCTTCTTTCTACTGTCTTACGTGATTCCTCAGTGGTTCGAGAGAAAAAAAGACTCAAAGCTAACATACCCGACCATGTCTGGAGAAGCTGGCTCGTCATAGCTCTCGGCTTGTGAAAACCTCCCGGTGGCTTCATTTGATCCGGGAGTAAACATTGCAACGTCGCTGCATCGGGAAGGAGATCCCATGCTTCCACTGTCCATCGAGACTGATGGACCAGCAAACCGTCCGGACGTACTTGGCGAAAGATTGTTATTGCATGGAAGATCGGATCCTCCGTAGAACTGACTTTGATCGCCTGACAAGGAAAACAAAGTAAGCCAAAGATCTTGTATGACAATCGAGCTTATCTTGACCGACAACCACGTTCTCACCATTGCGCGGGCGCAAGTTCATCACATCGTCCACGGAGATCCTCGTGCTACTTCTCGTAGCTGTCTTAAAACCAGAATTATTGATCCCTTTCTTAGTAGATCCTGGAGCATACACACACCAAACTTGAGCTTCACCGAGAAAAAAAAAACCAAAAGTTAGGGCGCGAAAACACACATACCCATCCCCGTGACGAATTCTTCGCCGTAGTCGCAAAGAAATCGCTGCCGATTCCGGGCGCTCAGCAGCAAGAACTCATTGCGCTAGCTCCTGCCGCGCTCCTGGCCGCCAGAAAATCCCGACCTCCTCAAAAACCCTATAAGCCCAACACTGAAAGAATGAGCGCCCCCGCGAATCTATCCCCGGCAATGGCGCACGAAATGTGACGCTGCTGCTGCTAAGAGTGTGATTCGCGAGTGACACTCGCCATAGCTCTCTCCCTCTTCTCTCCCTTGTTATAAATGGCGGGGAAACTGTAAAGGTAGTCTGTTAACTGGGTATCTGTTATCTTACACTTAAAACCGGTGCCCAGGATATTCCGTCAGCATGACGGTAGATGCCAAATTGCTGTCGAACCGCCACGTGGAGGACGTGCCCCGTGGCGGTCGCTCCACCTCCACCAGCCGGTCACTTGTATTACGTGGCCGTGCCGTTCATTGAGGATTTTGCCTTATGTGTTTATCGTCCAGGGAGGGGGCTTTGCTTCTAGATTAGGTTTGGCATATGTGTAGCTGCCAGAGTGCTTGCATTGAGCTGGAATGCGCAGCTCAAATTTTGACCTATTGGAGCGCTATAGAGTCGAATCGATCGCAGGAGGCGATCGCTTTGGCAGAGATTTAGTCGATGAAGGATCGCTTGATCGGAGGTAATGTGGGCTAGCTAGAGAGCAATCGCTTTGGTGCTTCAGCCATGTTGGAGGACTACGTTGCGTTCTATCTCCAAAAGTATTTGGGGAAGTACGTCAAAGGGGTCTCCAAGGAGGCCTTGAAGATCAGTGCATGGCAAGGTACTCCGTTTTCTTTTTGGTTTCCTCTTTTGACTTTGAGATTTCTCAGGAAATGTGGAGCTCACGAATATGCAGCTCAAACCGGAAGCTTTACTGGAATTGAAGCTCCCGATTAAAGTCAAAGCTGGATTTCTGGGATCCGTAAAATTGAAAGTTCCGTGGAGCCGGCTGGGACAAGAGCCTGTTATTGTGACTCTTGATCGCATATTTGTGCTGGCGGAGCCTTCATTCAAGGTCGAAGGTGTTGATGACGATGCGGTTGAAGAAGCCAGATATCAGTATATCAAGGCAAGCGTTTTGCCATTTCTCTAAATCTGGATCTTCTTGTGTTTAATTTTCTCGTCATCGCTGTAGGAACATGAAACCGCTCTTGTCACTTCTACGCAAGACCAAGGGCAGCAGCAACAGCCCGAGATGGTGCGTACCTTGAGCTTAGTAATGGTTTACTGTACTGAACCTTTTTTGTTTTCCACTCTAGAATAACTCTTGGCTGGGATCGTTGATTGGAACTATAATTTCCAATATAAAGCTTTCTGTTACAAACATTCACATCAGATTTGAGGACACTGAAAGGTACGTTGGATTTTTCTCGAACTTTTCTCCTGATTCGTTTCTTCTTTAGCAATCCTGAGCAGCCATTTGCCATTGGAGTTACTCTGGAAAAACTTGCTGCTGTTACTGTTGATGACAATGGGAAAGAGCTATTTGTCTCCGGGGGCGCGTTAGATAAAATCAACAAGGTAGAGATTTGAATTTTCTTGTGTCCATATTTCGTTAATGTTGGCCGCTGTGCAGTCCGGTGAGCTGAAAAGGCTAGCATTTTATTTCGATTGCAAGTCGAAACCATGGGACTTGGACTTTGAAAGTCTTTCGCCTGAAGGCTGGAGCAAGGCATGCTTGTAGTTTTTGTTTTTGGACGTATGCTTGACGTTTACTATCAGGCATTTGAACCTGGTGTTCGCGAGGATGCTGAGAAAGTCCACCACGCGTTTCTCTTACAGCCCGTGGATGGCATGGCACGTTACAGTAAACTAGGCACACGTGACGAAAGAAGTGCGGACAAACCTGCTCAAACTGCAGCAGTCGTGCTTGAAAATGTTACACTTTGTCTTTCAGAGGTAACATTTTTTTTTAATGTGCAAGCTAACCAGGATTGTTAAACAGCCCCAATATCGGGATGTATTGACGCTTTTCGACAACATTTCGACGTTCAACATGCGTGTAGAACATGCACATTATCGCCCAAAAGTTACAGTTGCAGAAGATCCAGCAGCTTGGTGGCAATATGCCATTAAAGCTACAATAGAAAAGAACAGGAAGGCCAGGTATTTTAACATCTTTATGTTTTGGCAAGCTCTGATGGGAGGTTTGCAGTGGCCATTTGAGCTGGGATCAGCTTTTACACCATGCACGTATGCGGAAACAGTACCTGTCTAGCTATGCAAAATGTTTGCTGGCAAATCCCGATCGTATTTCAATCAATGATGATGATGGGATCAGACAGCTTGAATCAAGTCTCAACAAGGATGTTATTGTTCAATGGAGGTGGATACGAATTTATTTAGTTATTAATTTCTCCTTTTGTTGCTCTTACCATTGTTTTTCAGAACTATTGCGCATACACTGGCAGATCAAGCTAGAAGAGAGAATGCTGAGCATGAGAAAGAACAAGCTAAAAAAAGATGGTGGCCGTTCGGATGGTAAGGTCGACGTACTCTTCTGGTGACGTGATCAATCGTTCGACGTTTTTTCTCAGGGGTGGCCAATCTGATGGGGGCGGTGAACCAAGAGGCCTCTCCGATGACGAATGGCAGCAATTGAATCAAGCTATTGGCTATCAAGAAGGCAAGCCGTCGACCTTGATGCCGGGTCAGGACGCACCAAATATGCTGCATACTGTTTTGCAAGTTCAAATGCATTACAACGCGTCGAAACTCATTTCGGAAAACGAAGAGGAGCTTCTAACCCTGTCTTGCGAAGGGCTACAAAGTAGTATCAGGCTTTATTCGGAAGCCAAAGACTTCGATCTCAAACTCGAGTCGTACAAAATCTGTTGTCCCGAAGGATTACTTGCGGAGGTACAGTTACGCTCTTTTTCTGTCATACTTCCTTACTGTTTTCCTCTCTAGAGTGCCAGTCATCTTGATGCTCTGAGTGCCACATTTTCGTTAGCTCCAGTGAATGAGGATCTTGACTGGAGTCTGTCTGCAGGAGCCTCTCCTTGCTATATTACGGTGAGTCTCACAGCATTAGTGTAAGATTTGCGTACTATCTATCTTTTTCTGCAGTACCACAAAGCAAGCATCGACAGGGTCATTGCGTTTTTCAGTAGCAGGACATCTGTAAGCCGTGAAGTTGCAATACAGACGGCTGCGGCATTTCAGGTAAGAGAATGACTTTAGTGGTTTCGGCTTTGCTTACTCTTGTCTCTACTTTTGAAGATGACTTTGGACGAAGTTACAAGGAAAACGCAACAGCAATTCAATGAGGCTTTAAAAAATCGTCCCAGGTAGAGGCAAATTTATTTGAACTAGCTGTTATATACTTGTTGCAGGTTCTCATTATTTTTGGACATAGCTGCTCCCAAAGTCACCATTCCAACAGATTTTTATCCAAAAAACTCACAGCGGACTAAACTCATGCTTGATTTGGGGCATTTCAAAATGAAGACGGAACGGGTATTGCTCTTGTTATATGATTGAATCTGAATCTAAAAATCTTCACACAGGGTGAAGAGCAACGAATTTCCCAGGAGGAGAGTGAGATGTACATGTGCTTCAAAATGCAGCTAAACGACGTGTCTGGCTTTTTGGTTGACGGCGACTGCGATTGGGATGCGGTTCACTCTTCCAAAGATTCAGGAGTTCTGCCCGTAATTGAGAAATGTGCCGTTTTTGCCTTGCTGCAGCAGGTAAAGTCTTCGTGCTCGTAAAGACCTTCAAAGTTTCCTTTTCTCTTTTCAGATATGTGTTCCTCATCCTTCATACCCATCTACACGAGTGGCCGTGCGAGTGCCTTCTGTGGCTGTACATTTTTCTCCTGCTAGATATCATAGGCTTATGCAAGTTGTGGAACTGTTACAAGGCGGTTCTACAGATGTATCAGTTCGTCCCTGGGAGCCAGCCGATTTTGAAGGAGATCTTACTGTTCTTGCTTGGAAGGTACTTGTTATTAACACCTATGAGTGATCCTTCAGTGTTATCTGTGTCCAGGGTATGGGAAACAGGGAGGCCGTTTGGAATCATCGTTACGGAGTTATAGCGGCGCCTTCTTTCTATATTTTGGAATCTGTGTCCTCTGAATCATATGAGCACTGCGTGAGGTAAGCTTGCTAACAATGATACTTTCTTTAAAATTTTGTTTGTAATTACGGTTTGTAATTTTCAGCCTGTTCGGCAAGCAAGTATATCTGATTCCACCTGAATCAGTGGGAGGTATTGCACACGTGCTTGCATTATGCGATCCGGAACAATTTAGTAAAAAGGTAGGTACGATTACGTAGTAGTTCATCACAACTGAGAAGCACTTTGCAGGTGGTAGAGTCTGTAAGTGCTGTGATATTACGATTTAAGGACGAGGATACTCTAGAAAACTGGCGGGCACATTTTATGGCTATCATTCGTAAGCTAAATGTACGTTTCTTTTTTTCTTTTTACTGTTTCTTAAAAGGATAATTTGCTACAATGTTCATCAGAGCTCGCAGGCTGTGGTTCGCGGAACAGCAGGCAAAGATTCCAAAGATAAGAATGTCTCTCCTGTTGGGCCTGCTGCGGAAAAAGAAAAACTGTTTTTAACTGGGACGTTGGATGAGTTGAAGATCTGTATTGCAAGTACCAAAACGGTACGTGAGAAACTACGTGTTTTTAGCTGATTGTCATAGTATGTAACTTTCAGGGGCATAGTGATCGGGAACAGG